ATTTGTTTCTGCGGTAACTAACTCATTTCAGGTGTGAATTTGCAAATTTGAAATTCCTAGTTCTGAAACAATGTCAAGCACTGACACAGCTAACTCATCAGTTATTACATATGCTTACTGAGCTGCTCATGTTAATTCCTATTAAAGATTTAAAGCTTATTAGTAGTGTTAAGACGAGAGTAATTGATCCACTTGGAACCACAGTTTGCCCTGTTTAACAAGAATGTCACTTGCTGATAGAACTGTTGAAGTCACATCATTGTGAACATATTCCAGTATATTGAGTGGCACTATCACTCTGCTAAATGGGATAGACTTCCAACATAACTTGCTACCTAAAAACTGGGCATCCATAAGGCTGTAGGCCATTAGCAACTGCAGAACTGCACTCCAACACAACCTGTAATGATATGACATACATCCCACCCTATTGTTACCATGAAGCCAAGGGATCAACACTCATTAAATGAAGTGTACAGGAGAACATGCCAGCAGCAGCACCAGCATACTTAAAAATGGAGTGTCAACTTGGTAAGAATACAAAACTGGGCAACATACATGCCAAACAGTAGAAGCTTCAAGTGATGGCCAGAGCTAAGTAATTTAACAACCAAAGAATCAGATCTAAGCTCTGCAACTCTGCTGTGTCCTGTCATAAATGGTGCTGGACAATTAAAAAACAGACTGGAGGGGAAGGATCCACAAATATCTCCATCTTCAATAATGGTGGAGATCAGGGCAAAAGTTCAACTTGATGCATTTGCTGAGTCGATGATCCATCTCAGTATCCTGCAGAGGCCAAGCAGACATCTGACCTTGGCCATGTTCCTGGACTGTGTGCATATGCTGTTCTTGACTGTCTGCACTAGGAACCCCTAACTGACATAAGTTCCCCCTCAACATCTCTAAGGACTTCTTCCCTTTGACTTTGAGAAATGGCCATTTGATTGAGCCTCATGTAGTACATTTGCCATGCGGTTTGCTGGAACATGCTGTAGGTGTGAGTTTGTGTTTGCATCATGCCATTCAGCAACATGTACACCCCTTAGACTGATGACTGCTGACAAGCATGATAAGCTGTCTGACTTTGTGTCTACACTAAACTGCAAAGAAAGCCAGAAGTAGTGTGCACCTTTAAAGAGCAGCTGAAGGGACAAAGGACTGAAAGGCAAATGAAAGCAGGGGTAATGTGTGCATCTAGATAGGTGCAAAGTGTGTAAGTACAGAGAAAGCAAGCCAGCAGCCCTATTTTGCAGCCATACAATGGTTCAGTCCATGAACCGGGTTCCTGTGCACAAGGCATCCTTTCAGTAGCATTGCAATGATAGTTGCCAGTTTGTTCAAAAGTGCAGCATTATGATGCATAGGTGTACCATAGATAAATTGAGAATGTGCCATGATGCTGTGGAAAGCTGGCATATGTTGAATACCAGTGTCCATGGATGTGGGATGCTTTCAGAGACTGCACAAGAGCATGCCCTGAGACATTGGTTACAGGTGTCCAAATGGCCAGAGGAGCAAGCAACGAGATGTAGTTGCTAGATACCTTTTTTTTCCTCATTTATGTCAAGAATTCTAGGCATCTAGTTTCTATCCGACAGGTGGTAGGAAAGGAACCTGCAAATTTTTGAGCTGGGATTCAGTATTGGTGAGGGTGATAATAAGCAATAATCCTCGTTAATATGCATCTCGCTGGTCCTTATCATGAATCTTGTCTCACTGTCCGGAACTTAGTTTGAAAATTCAACTTGTTGTTCTCGAAGTTGAGAAAGACCTCACTGTGATTCTGCCTGATTTCTCATTATAGCCTGTCGTTCAGGCTGCTGTAAAATTCTGCCCAATGGAACCAGACTCAGAAAATCACAAATGAATGCTGTTTCAACAGCTCCTTTTAATCTGTAGAAGGAAAATAGATTTGCAAGTTAGAACTGGAAGACCTTTTCTCTCTCCCTCCCTGATTGTGTCATCATATCTAAAACAGTACCTGATGTAAAAGCAAACTGGGGAAACAACTATTCACTGAGGTCTCAAAGATACCTGCAAAAGTCAACACTGCTGAGGATATCAGTCATCAAATAATCAACTGTGTCCTCAGGTTAAAAATCCAAGCTTTCTATCATGTGTTCAGAAATATTTTGATCAATGCCTCCATTAACTCTGCAGGTTTAATGTCTTTGGGTGCTGGCCATCAGTTCTTTACACCTTGAATATTGAGTTGATAGTCTTGGGTAGTCTGTGCTCTCAAACTACCTCCTCTTTCAAAGATGGTGACTCAGATAGTTCCACAGGTATTGCTATCGTTGTAGCACTTAGCCTGTGTGGTCATTCTCCATGTGTGAAACATTGCTGGGAGATCTAAAGCTGAGTCCAGACTTGCTATTATTACACATAAGCATGTAATTTATAGCAAAGAGGCCTAGATAGCAATGTATGGCAAGATCCATGACTGATATTTGATCCTTGCCTTTTGAAGCTCATGCAGATGTTAATTATAATGCTTCCTGTTCCGATTATCTCAACTAGAATTCATAAACTCAGAACAGATCAGGAATTAAACCTATGACTTTCTCAGCATTTATTTTGTTCAAAACAGTATAATTTCTAATGGAGCTAGAAAGGAAGCCACAGTTAAATTCGAGCACTATTTAACAAACTGATGAATGAACTTGTGTGAATTCCTTATGTATGCTGTTTCTCAAAGCTGTTAATCCCTTTGAAATAAGTTTAATAATTGTGTAAAAACAGCTTGTATAGAATTTTACATTTTGTATTGTGTTTAGCAACATTCTAAAGCTTCCTCTGCAGGTTTTAACTCATTCACCCAAAGATGACCAACTACTTTTTAAGATAGGTCATCCAGATCAATAGGCACAAAAGAATAATGTTCTCCAAGGCACCTTGGTTAGGGATTGTGAAGGTATTTTTCAATTAATTAGTTTAATTAGAAGATAACTCAAAATAGAATAATGAAGACAAAAGTAAACAGTTTTATCCATTTTATAGATTTTCACCACAAGTAACCTTATCCATAACATGGAATACCATAAAGGCTGAAAAGTGTAGGAGAGAACAAATGCCAGTTAATATTAATTGACACCAGGCTTGACTTTTAAATGGTTTTAGATTGTAGCAGGAAGGAAAACTGCGGGCGACAAGCAAATACAGTTTTAAGGTACAAAAAAAGGAGACTGCATTAAAAATTAAACATGATAAAAACATCAGCTTAGTCAACGTGCATAAGCTTCATTTCATTGTTGTATTTGTTACCTGCTCTGCTGAGTTGGTTGGTGATATCCATCTGACTCCAGGAGTTTGGAGAACCTGGTCAGAAAAAAGAAACAAGATACAGCTTGACAGCTAAATTAAAGCATTTTTGCTACTGCAGTAAATAAAATGCTTAATATCATAAAATCACATCAGTGCTTAAATCCTATTTGTTATGTATTCTGTTTGAATTGTCCATGTCAAACAATAATTCCACAATATTTGTAACTTCAGGAAGCATACACACTCAAGAAAAAAAATCACGCCTAAAACTATTAAAAAAAACTTCTAGAAATGTATCACAAAGAAAATAATGCCTCAATGTTTACTTGTCAGCTTTTGTAGTCCACAGCCATGCAGATTTTCTGTTAGTTTTTTATTCAGAATGAATTCATAGATACAAAAATGTTTATTTTCAATGCAATTCTGTAAAACACAACATATTCATTTTTTTCCAACACATTTTTGAAATCTACAAAGTATATGGAATTGTAGAATAAAGTGTATTTGTGTCAATCTTTAAGCAGTGATTACAAGCATAATATTTTATTCATTGAAATTTCTAATTGATCCAAATTGCACCACTTCAAATGTCATCATCTGCTACTTTGCATGATTGGATTGAACATTGGTTTTACAGAAGTGTGATATAAAGTGTGTGTGATTTATATATATTTTAGAGTTACTTAGTTTAGAGTTTGGATTTTGAATTAGTGATATGTGGATTTGGGCTGTGTGGATGAGGTGTTTTAATGATTTACTTTTTGTATTTTTCTGAAGGCATTTTTCAAAAAAAAGTATGAGAGATATAGGACATAGGTCATGGAATGATAATGGGAATTTGTTTGCATTAGGAGAGTATTATGAACAGACAAACATTGAAGAGCAGTAGGCTTTGGGGAAAACAGTTCTCAATTAGTTAGTAAGGTTTTAGTTTGAAAGTTCCAGACCAGAAGTGTTTGGTTAGAACCCTAAGAGGTTATTTGAAGCCAAGAAAGTCGAAGCTCAGTTCTGTGAGTACTCAAGGAACGGGGATGGAAATTGAAATAACAGCTAAGTCAAAGTTGTAAAGGTGATTGAAAAAGAATTCTCTCTCATGTTTGTATACCACAAAGATTTGCAGTTGGGATGGAAGGAATATTGTATTTTGTTGCTGTTTCAAAATCTTTGAAATTGTGTTGCGTATGAATAGTTTGACTTATGCTATTTTATCTTCTTTGTATGAAACTTTTGTTTCGTTGTTAAAACCAGATCTGCTGCATTGTATGCTTGTGTTTCTGTGAAAAATCACCTCATTTAAAAAAATCTGGCAAGCCAGATTTCAGTCTGGGGATCTGACTTATTCAGTAATAACATCAGTTGAGATCATAAGACCTGCTCTATTGTATAAATATTAAGATTAATGGAAAATTAAATTAGGAGAGATGCAAAATTAATGTTCAACTCAATTCTGTCAGTTTTACCTCAGGCAGGTTACTTTAAAATTATCTGCATGATGCCTAAAGTTGTATTTCATCACAAGTAGTATTATTGATCCTTCAGTTCATCACGAATCGCATATTGTTTGTGCCATGTCCAGTTTATAAATCAATAGGGTGCTATTCAAGTAAACAATGTCTAACCTAAACTAAATTCAGTGATAAAGAGGGATTATATTTTAAAAGGACGGTGTTCTTCTTTTAATTAAAGATATCTAGTAACAATAGTATTTCCTGTGTACGGCCCTTATTAGGATGATACATGGAAATAAATTGAAAAAAAACTGAAGGCTCTTTATCTGAATGTATGCCGCATCTACAATAAGATTGAGAAACTACATTCATTATTGCGAAACAAGAGTGGTTAATTACTAATGTCATAGTAAAGGGTCTACTGGGAAATAATGATTGTGATACAATTCAATTCCAAATTAAGTTTGAAAATGGCATACTCCAATCACAAAGAATCTCAGAGCTAAAGAAAGTCAATTACAAGGTATGAGGGGAGATCCAGCTAAGGGCAATTGGATAAATAGACTAAACGGTATGGCAGTAAATCAACATTGGGAAACATTTAACAAAACAATTCAAAATGTTTAAATGGTTAAAAATGTACATTCTGTTGGGGAAAAAATCCATTATTTGGTTTTCTAAGGATGCTCAGCATAGTATTAGATTAAATTAAGAAGAGGCCTATAATGTTGCCTATAATAGCAGTGACTCTGAGGATTGAAATTATTTTAGAAACTAAATGAGAGTAAAATAGCCAGGAATATAAAGTAAAACCTGCAACTTTTTTTTTAAAGAACACTAAAAAGGAAGACAGTAACTAAAGCAAACGTTGATCCCTTAGAAGCAGAATCAGTATAAGTTATCACGGGGAATGAATATAAATGGCTGAGTCATATAACAAGTATTTTGTGTTTGTCTTCACAGTAGAAGATGTAAGTTCTAAATAGAATGCAACCAAGGGGCTATGATGTGGAGATGCCGGTGCTGGCCTGTGGTGGTCAAGGTTAGAAATCACACGATACCAGGTTATAGTCCAACAGGTTTATTTGAAAACACAAGTTGTCGGAGCCTCACCCTTTTTAAGGTATTAGTGAGTGGTATCAGACACAGAATTTATAAGTAAATGCCCACTTTGGAAATAAAACTAATCTGACTCCAAACCAAAACACAAACAGATTCTAAACAAGGCCTCACACCTAACATACACTGTCTGACCTAAAGTGTCACCTCTTCTTTACAGTGATAAAACCCTTTAGTTCTCTCAGGGCAGTGACTTGAAATAAATTTGGTGATTTGCATATACATATTAATCAATTAAAGCCTTCTAACTGATTAAAGATTTAACAGCATCTTAGGTTTGTTTAATACATCCTCATCAGTGGTGTGACCTTTTGATCCTTTACTTATAAATTCTGTGTCTGATACCACCTCTCTTACTAATATCTGAAGAAGGAGCGAAGCTCAGTAAGCTTGTGTTTTCAAATAAACCTGTTGGACTATAACCTGGTATCATGTGATTTCTGACCTTGATCAAAGGGCTAACAAGAGGCAGGTAATTATTTATTATCAGAAGAGAAAATGTACAAAAGAAATTCAAGGGACTAATATGAGTTAAATCTGATTATCTATATCCTAGTATGCTAAAAAGCAAACAGAAATATTGAAAGTGCTGTCTCTGATTTTCCAAAATTTCCTAAATTCTGGAACAGTACTAGGGTTTTGAAAGTTATTCAATATTACACTGTGTTCAGAAAGATGGAGAGAAAAGGCAGGAAACAGCAGGCATGTTAGCCTGAAACTTGCCATTGGGAAAGTGGTGGAATTTGTTTTTAAAGAAGTCTTAACAAGGCATTTATGAAAAACATAAAATGATCAGAACAAGTCAACATGGTTTTATGAAGGGGAAAGTACATTTGACCAATTTATTAGAGGTTTTGAGTAAGTAACTAGTCATGGATAAAGGGAAATCAGTAGATATAGTACACTTGATTTCTAAAAGACAGTAATAAGTTGCGATACAAAAGATAAACATATAATAAAATAGCTCATAGAGATGGAGTGATATATCAGCATGATAGAAGATCAGTTAATCTACAGGAAGCAGAGATGACATTGAAACCATGATCCTCAACAGCTGAACAACCACGGATTCTATTTCAGTGAAGATGGTCTGTCATTGCACCAACCCTATTCTCCATCTTCTTTGCTGTGATTCCACACTTCACATCTGGCAAATTACTTACAGATATGCAGTAATTATAGATCAGACGGGAAACTGTTCAAGCTACACCTCATTCAATGCAAAAACAAAGTTGCTCCAATCTCAGTCATTCGCCTCCAAAATTCAGATGACACAGTGTGTACTCACTCAGAATTGAGCTCCAGGTCATTATCGAATCCTTCTCTGAAGCATGAGAGAAAATGGTAATTTCACGAAATAATCAGAAAATGAACTTTCTCCCTCCTGTTAAGATGAGAGGTGAGATCTTGGGAAATGTGGGCCACTGTAGAATTCCTACAGTGTGGAAGCAGGCCATTCAGGCCATTGATTCATACTGACCCTCCGAACAGCATCCCACCCAGACCCACCACACTACTCTGTAACCCTGCATTTCCCATGACTAACCCACTTAGCCTGCACATCCCTGCGCACTATGGGCAATTTACCATGGCCAATCTGCCTAACCTGCACATCTTTGAACTGTGGAAGGAAACTGGGAGGAATCCCATGCAAACACATGGAGAATGTGCAAACTCAAAACAGACAGTCACTTGAAACTAGAATCAAACCTGCATCCCTGGTGCTGTGAGACAGTAGTGGTAAACACTGTTTAGAAGAATGAGGGGAGATATCATACAAACCTATAAAATTCTAACAGGACTAGTCAGGATAAACACAGGATGTTCCTGATGAGTGGGGAGTCTAGAACTCGGAGACACAATTTAAGGATATGGGTAGGTCTGGAGAAATTTCTTTACGTAGTGAGCCATGAGCATGTGCAATTCTCTGCCACAGAAAGTGATTGATACCAAAACATTGAATGTTTTCAAGAAGGATTTAGATTTGGTTCTTAGGGCTAAAAGGATAAAAGGGTATGGGAAGAAAGTGAGTACAGGGTACTGAGTTAGATGATGACACATGATCATATTGAATGGAAGAGCAGGGCTCAAATAAATGGTCTACTCCTACTCCTATTTTCTCGGTAAACATCCCAATTTCTAATCTATCTAAATAAACACCCAAATCTCCAAGCAACTAATTTTTCTGACCCTTTTAAACACCACCATTTTACACCCAACAGCACCTGCAAATTGTTCCTTGAACTGAGGTAGAGGCAGGTTGTTTGGATTTCTGCTCTGACTGCTGAGATGCCTTTATCAGGCAACTTCCAGGATTTTGGAGACAACAAAGACCACATCAAGACTGCTATACCTGCTGCTGTGCAGCAGCAAACACAATCAGCGAAGATAGAATGAGAGCTACTGTTTGTGGGATTTGGGCAATGGACAACAGGTGGAAGCACCAAGTGAAGTCTGCACTTCCATGTCTAACTTGTTGGTATCTTTCTCAAGGGCCAGTTACATTTCATTCCTATTTCTGTGTTGAAATACATTTTGGTGCAGATTAATGTGACATTGCAAAATATCTGAGACCATCTTCAACATCACAGAAATGCCAGAGTCTGCATGGCTATGGTCAAGATATACATTCATCTATTTGATTGTTGCATTTAAGGGTTCATGTTGGTGGCCACTGAACTTATGCAAAAAGAGATCATCACAACACCCTCCATCATCAAACTATAAATAATGCTGAGGACTCTTCCATTCTCTCCGCAATCATGTTCAGTGTGCTTTAAACGCTAGTCAGTGCATTAAAAGTTCTCTGCTGCTCAATGATTTTTATTTTCAGTCACAAACTATAGAGTACACCATCTCTGTCTAGCTCTGGAGATCTTGCAGAGAGCTGCATATGCCAATGAAACTCTCCGTTGCTGAACCTGTCACTGTCATTTGTGTTTGGTCACTCGTGAAGTGGACCTCACTGGGTAAAATCCCAAATATTTGTCTGTATGGGCCCAGTAAATTGCAGGGCGTCTGAATAAATGCATTGAATACATCAACCTTGTAATGATTTCAATACCCCCATGCCCTCACCTTTCCCTATCTATGTAATTTCCTCCAGTTCAACAAACCTTTGATATACTGCATTCCTCTATTCTGGCTTCTTGAGGATCCCCAACTTTAACAATCTGTAATTGTTGGCAGTGTCTTCAGCTGTTAATGCCCTAGGCTCTGGAACTCCTTCCAGAAACTTCCCCACCTCCCTACTTCACTTTCCCCCTTTTGTTGTCCATTTCTCTTCACTAATGAAGATGGTAATTTCTTGCATGCGGAGTGTCATCTATTTTGTGTTTTAATGTGGCTGCGGAGCCCAATTGCAGACTTGAACTTGCTTTTTGTCCTTTTCTATTACAATTGTTTGCTGTTTGAAGAAAACACCAGTACTTAAATGCTTTAACTGCAGTTACTGCTGGAAACATATGGGGATCCACCTACAGTTTTTTTTCCATCATGCTGTTGTGTTCTGCTGCAAAGAGGTAAAGAACACATTTATGATGATTGTAAGCTATAGGTGTCTCACCTGATAAGAGGGGGTGCCTTTTTGAGAATGGTAATGGTGCATGAATTGTTGGAAATTTGATAAAATACATAGGAGAAAGGAAACACGGGTAAGGTGGATATGAAGAATGATTTGTTGTATGTTTTCTAAGTCATAATGAGGGGTAAGGTGTTGGACACAGCAGGATCTAGGTAAATGTGAAGTTATACCCACTTTCTTAAGTCAGTCCTTCCAGCTTTACCCAATGGTTTCACACATTTCTCCCTCCTGCCACCATTACTGGGGCTGAGTATACCTTTGCAACTCCTCAGTGCCCCGAGCAGCTCATTAAGTTAGATATCACTAATATTTGGCTCAGGGTTTTCTTGTCTCACCTCCAATATTAACTTTCCTCTTCATGTCTGCAAACACTAACTCCTATAAATTTTTAAATTGGTCCTGTAAAGACTAGGATTGGGATCACATCATGCAGGTTTTCATCATGCCCTGCAGACACTATGCACTTAACACCAAATATGTTAAGTAAAATGCTTGTGAGGTGGTTAAGTAAAAAAGCTACTGACAGACACACTAATCTTCCAGATTTCCACATGATTATTCAAATCCTCTCCTGACCTTGATCCCACTGTGTCCCCAAGTAAATATTGTTGCTTATATGGCTCAGTAAAGACTCTTCAATTTGATTGGTTAAAGAAACTCAGTTCTTTTCTTGTACATAAAGGTCCCAGATCCTTATAGAATACACCACACTATTCTGGCTCTCAAACAAGTTCTACTTCAAATTCCAAAGTACGTAGACAAGAGTAGATTTAATGAACAACTAGCACCATTTGTCCTCTGCTGACTAAACTCTGGGTCACTTTAACATATCGACAATTTTGCCAAATATGCTATAACAATGTTGTTTCATAACTTTTTTCCATCCTGTCTTCAGTCTTCATTGTGATGCCTCTTGCCAATCTTGCTTTTTGATTGACTAAGGATATATATATTAATGAGGGCTCTTGTGGCATAGTGGTAGTGTCCCTAACTTTGAGCCAGGAGGCCTGGATTCAGAGGAGTGTAATAATATTCCCGAACAGGTTGATTAGAAAATATTTATAAGTGCAAGTCATTGATTTCTTTTCTGTGGTGAAATAGTTGACAATTTATTCATGCCATCTTTATGACTGTACCACCATTACATTGAATAATATTAATGGGGCTCAAACTCCAGTGTCTGTTTATTCTGTTAATCCTGTTTACAACTCTATACATTTAAAGCTGTGATTTTGACATTAATTTTTTTTGCTGAAGATTGTTCTTGATGGCCGAGGAATTTCCATACAGACTAGCCATTTGTAAACTGCACTGCAAGGTGGTGTTTATGCCCCCAAGTGTTCAGACATCACACAACCAGGAATAGTAGCAGCCAGCATCATTAGTTGGTAACATTTTCAGTAAGGGCCAGCAACACTTAGTCAATTCTACTGGAGTGAAAATATCTGCTTTTTTCTTCAATTCTAACCACGCAGATTAACTCATGACTTAGTGAGATCTGGGTTGAAATTAGACTTTATTTAAGCACGGTAAAACAACTAGATATCAATAACAGATGGCATGAAAGTTACCAGCCTCATTCACTGTTTGCCCTGCAAGAATTTTATATACAAATTATACACATTTGACTCAAAATTGAACAAAACAGGATTATGGCATTGTAGCTTATATTCGGACTGCAAAACAGAAACAAAACAAGTTCACTTTCAATTTGATAAACTTCGCACATTGATATCTCAAATTTGTCAGAAATTCTGAAGATTATTGGGGCAAAATGTATTCTGGTGCAATCTTCTCAAACTCATATGAAAATTCAACTTTATCTAAGTTAGGTGATATCTTTTAGAAATGACCTGGTTTTCAGCTCTTTCAACTGGCAATAATAATTCTGTTTTTATTCTAATGTTACCTTAAAGCATCAAACTTACTTGGGACACCTTGCTTATTTAAACTGAGCCTGTGTTTGATATTGATCTATAAGATACCAGATTTCAGTCCTGGCTTCTGTTGAGTTGGCTGAACTTAATTAGGCTACTAGTATGAGGGAAATGATTGATTTGTGTATTCCTGACTTAGTAAGGAGAAAATACAGTATCTCGTAATCCTTAATACATATTATTATCTGGGTGTCTCTTCTGAGACTGGTGGAGGATGTTCTTGATGGGACTGTGATCAAAATCTAAATCCTATGTGACTTCAAGGTAAGCTTCTGACTAAATATCCTCTAGCTCATTATTACTTCCACCTCTGTATAATTGCTCTCTTTCACCATTCTCCCTGTTCACCTGTTGAAATCCTCAATAATTTTGTGCCACTTCCAGAATTGATAGTTCCAATGATCTTCTGGCCAGCCTCCTATTCTCTTCTTTCATAAACTTAAGTTTATCCATAACTTTGCTACCCACACCAAACAGAAAGTTTCACATTGGCTCCTGGTTCTTCAATGCTTCCAATTTCATCCTGTTGTTTCAAACCCTTTATAACCTTGCTCCTTCTCAGCTGAATAACTTCAGTTAAGAAAACTAAATCTATGAAGTCTGGTGTGTGCTCCAATCACTTCACCACACCATAAGCTGTCAACCATTTATGCTTTAGACTTCCCTCCTCAACCTATATGCTTCTCACCCCTCCATTAAGACCTCCCTTACAGCCAACCTATTCTATTGCTACTACAACTGAGATCTCTTTATTTAGCTGTGTGACGATATCTGTGTGGAGGCCCTTAATATGTTTTGATATATTAAAGATGCTAATATATAAAGGTATATATATATATATAAATAATTATTGAACAACTGACTTCAATTTGGATCTCAGAGGCTGTGAAATTGCATTCCATCCTTCCCCTACAACGGCCTTTGACCAAAGTGACCATAATTGAAATGGATCACATTTAGCTCTGTTCATGACTTTCTTCAAAACATTGTCTTGCAAACTAGACAATGTACAAAATAAAAGCAAGAAAGAAAAAATGTTTAATGGCTACAGGTGGAACCAACAAGTAGAAAGTTGACTTTTCTATTCAATTCTAAAAATGGTTTTTTTTCTTTATTCATGGGATGAGGGCTATCAGCATCCAAATCTATTTAATTGCAGAAATATTGATTGTATAAACTTTTGCGCTATATCATTTTACCTTTGCACATTGGGGTTGTACGATAAAGGATGTATGTGACTCAAAGTTATTTCTAAAATTGTAAAATATTAAAGGAGCAATTAAAGGATGACAGCAAGCTGATATCTCAGCATGAGGGTTATACACATTTCTATTTCCCTGCCATGAGCTCTAGCACATACACTATGACAAGCTTACGCTGTACTAAGAGTTATGCCTAACAAACTGACACAGGAAAATTACAAACTGTTGGTACATCACAAATTTGGCTAAATAGCATCAATTCCTAGTCATTTTCAAATGAAGTCCACTAAGGTTCACAAATCTGCAGCCAAATTTCTTTGTCTATCCTTTGGGTTGGCTAAGATATGGGCAAACATGGACAAATTCCTGTGATGGAATACAAAGTAAGAGAAAATAAGTAGAATAACAGGAGGCTGGAAGAACACAGTAGGCCAGGCAGCATCTGGAAGAAAAGAGTAGTCAACATTTCGGATATTACCCTTCTTCAGGACTGGCTACATAAGCTGTTGCCAGAAATGGAAATGGAGAGGTCAAGGAAGGGGAGGGAAATGTCTGAGATAGACCAAGTGAATTTGAGGGCAGGGTGGAAGTTGTTAGCAAAGTCGATGAACTGCTTCAGTTCAGCCTGGGTGCAGGAAGCAGCACCGATGCAGTCATCGATGCAATGGCGGAAGATTTGGGGAACAGTACACGTATACTCACCGAAGAGGGACTGTTTGACATAACCGACATACAGGCAGGCATAGCCGGGGCCCATGCGGATGACCATGGCAACCCCCTGGATTTGAAGAAAGTGGGAAGAATTAAAGGAAAAGTTATTGAGGGTGAAGACTAGTTTGGCAAGGCGGAGGAGGGTATGGTGGGTGGGGACTGGGTGGGTCTGTTAGAGTGAAAAAGCTGAGGGCCTCTAGGCCATCCTTGTGGGGTATGGAAGTGTATAGGGATTGAATAAAATTATTTGGAGAGGGAATGCCATGTTTTTACCAACCTGCTAACTCCAAAAACTGCACTTGATATAAACATACAGTATTTTAAAGTTGGTTGACAAAAGGAGATTATGAACATCTGAGTTAACATATAATGAGATATTAAATCACTGGATTAATTCTGATGGTTCTGATCCTGGACAAAAAAACAACTAATCAATTGGTGTCTGTAAAAGGTAGAATTGCACTAGATTTTTTAAAAAGAATTGGACACAGATGCTTGAGATTATCTTTCTGAAATACTTAAAGAAAACCGATACCTGTCTGATCAAGTCCAATTCTTGTAATTTGAAATTATTAAAAATATATTTGCATTGAGAAGGAAAAAAAGTTACATTAGTTAGCTGTTAAAATATGTTGGGCTTACTTGACAAAATGTTCCAGTTCCTAAAGTTTCATTCAAACCGAAGCACAGAATGTTAACGAAGCAGGCAGTAACCACTTGAATGTTATGTTACAGAATGCACTAAAAATGAAATGGCTTCTCTCATGCAAAATGTTGGGAACATCAAAGCGGGGTTAGGCCATTCAGCCTGACAAACCTGATCTGCCATTTGATTTTATCACAGCTGACCATCTACCTCAGTGTCACTTTCCTTACTATTTCTTATTCCTTGTTATCATTCCTCTCCAGAAATCTATCAATTTCTGTTTTTTTACTTAAAACCTCACAATAAAGGATCATTACTATGCCAATGGAAATTTAACTGCTTTATCAAACTTCCTCTTCAATTTTCATCACAAATTGAACAGTTTGGAACTTGAAGACTGAAGGATATTACATCTAATTACTCCCATTTGATACACTTGAAACAGTTACAAATGGGTTTTAGTGATATGTTAAAAAAAAGCTTGTAATGCAATAAAATACAAAGTATACAAATGCCAGAGCCAGATGCATATTAACCATCACGCTTGAGATATGTTATCTAACCGGTTCAACAAGGAATTATCAGGAAAACTGGCAGTTTTGAATGTGCCATTCATTAATGTCCTATTTGTTTCATTTTTCTTTTATCACATATTTAGTAAATTGTATACAAATGGCCTGGTCAAAATGTTTATTTTACACAATCTGAGAAGGCGAAATATTTCATAAGAATACTGTTGAGTGGTTGAGAGTCTAAGAAGGCCCATTACATTTATACTACTAAACCCTCCCACAATTTAATGTATATGTAGGAATCATGTATCAGCAGGTGACAAAACTAACTTCATGTTTTACACTAGAGAGAGAGTTTTGAGCACTACAATAGTAGGTTGGAATGGGGTGGGGTTGGTGGGAGACAGAAGCGATGTTTAGGACTTCATACAAAACAATAAAAATATATGAAGTTCACCACCTGTATTCCATTGTGCCTTTCTGCTTTGATACAGAATACAAAAGGGATACAACTGCTGCTTACACAAGAGTTTTTTTTTAAATTAAGCTTTAGCTTGTGAGCAAGATAAATTATCCTACATCTAGGTAAACAACTTGGGTTAATAAAGATCCCTCCAAAATCAATAAAACGTCAATATGTTGCCTGGCTCAGTAACATTTACAAGCTGGTTATCAAAAATGTAATTAGCATTTACCACGGAAACCATTTTTTAAAACAGATAACATGAAGAAGCTTCTTTCTTTTTTTTGTGCTAAAGTAGTGACAGTAGGTCACTTCAAATATTTATGTCATTAATAACACATGAAGCACAGAGTGAATCCATGTCAAGGCTGCAATGTTTCATTAAAATAAAATTCTCATTGGTGCTGGGTCATTAAGGGAATTTGACATAATCTCAGTCCTAAATCAGTTTAAATTTGGATTCATTAGTGTGCTACTTTCCTAAATGTTTGGGTTTTAAAATAGACGTGAATACACGGTCAATGCACTTGCAGCTGTGAGGCACCTTATAGTCCACTTGGGAGAAGCTAATCTTTCACTACTTTCAAGGAAAGTGCCCACTATAGCTTATTAATTTTTTTAAATTCTCTTTGAAACAAATCTTCACATTCACTAGCCGGCTGTAAGCTCATCAAGATTACAATGATTTTGTTGTTAAATCAACCGGCTCTTAACCTTTGCAAGTATATTTGACACAACTTGATTGCAATAAAAATTAATTCCAAATAGATTACAAACTTGTGTATCAAAAAAATCACTACTTATGTAAAGATACAAATTAAACTACGAAGGCTTTGGCATTTGATTTAGTCACAAAATAGCTTTATTTTTTAAACAATATCACATACGCATATCATAGGAAACATCAAAGTTCATTTGGAAATATCTGCACAAACCCATGCAGACTGATCCAAAATTTTACAACAGTGATTTCACTATGAAATTTAAATCTGTTTATCTCTTTTTAAAGGCGATGTGTTATTTGGCAAACATTTATTTTAAGATACAAACCGTATTTCTTCAAGCTCAGAATACTATGTTGTGAAAAATGGCAAATCTCTTTAAATTTCACTTCTACATCCTTGTTTCGATGTCAATAGAAATACTATCCCCACCATTAGCCTTTCATTTAAATATTCTGGGTAAGGAGCACAAACACAGTTTGCTGTTCATGAAATAATGACAGCTCACTGACATGTACAAAAATCAGTTGTTTTATATACTGTTGTTCTCTTATGAAGCAGTTCTTCTGTCACTTGCCATACGTTTTTGTTTTGTTTTAAAATTATTTTTACCTCAGACACTACCAGGCTGCTGAAGGCACTGGGAAATGTGCCAATTACCCAATGGGCACCACATCCAAACACATCCCTAGACTACAAAACTGTGTGTTCGTTTACAAATTGATATATCAATTTAAACAGCATCATTTTTCCAAATAAAAATGTAACAGACAATAATTTAAAAAGTTCATCCATCCAAATGAATTGGAAAGCGTGAGCAATTGGGTGAGGCGGCAATGGCACACGGAGGAGCATTTAGGGCAGTTCTAGGGGTGGTGGATCGGATTTAGATCTAATCATTTGGGAAAGAGCAGGCAGAGGTTGGTGATGCACAGGTCACTCACGGTAGAAAATATATTCGGTGTAGCTGGTCCATATCTTGTCATCGGTCTGATCGTGAGCGAAGGCGCAGGTTCCGGTGGAATTACAGGACACCATGTGGAAGCCAGCCTCTGCCAACCTGTCGAACGCCTGCTCCAGGAAAGTAAACTTCAGATAGTAACGGGACGTGTAGCGCTCGGGAGGCCGGTCCGGGTCCCTGCTCTCGTTCAGAGTCTCCCCGAATACCTCTTTGGCCAGAGCAGTCTTCCCGCAGACCATGATCCTGGCTACTCTTCTAAACTTGGCGTCTGTCTGGCTGTCCCTGCCCAGCGTGTAGGAGCCCCGGTAACCGATGGTGATGAAACCGGCTCTCCTTTCGCTGCCGGTACTGCTGGCCATCGCCGTGGTCGAGACGATGCTGCGGATCGCATCGGTGCTGGGCGAGCCGTCCTCGGTGTCGCTGGGGCAAGCGTCGTCGTTGATGGAGTTCTGTTTGCTGAGTTTGGGGCTCAGCGTTTTGACCAGTTCGGGAAGTGCGAAGTACTCGGCCTCCCTCTGCAGCCGGCTCCTCTCGGGGAAGTGGTCGGGCAGCACTAGCTGCTGGTCCCGCATGTAATCCAGAATGTAACGGAAAAGAAAACCGTCTCGGTCGATGAAGAAACGCCCCTTACCGTCTCTCGCCAGCCCCAACCCGCTTTTCGGCCTGAACATCTGCGATAGGAGAGAGTCGGGCACACTGAGCAGGGTGGAGTACCGGGTGATATATACCTGGCCGCCGACATTCAGCTCTACAATCTCAGGGAAAGATGGCTCTTCGCTGCCCATGACAGAGCTGGCGTTGTCCGGCAGAGCCATGGGCAAACGGTCGGTACGGGAACAACTCGCGCTCTCCTGGCCTCGTGCCTCTCACTCTCTCTCCTCGCGCTCTCCTAACCCCGTGCCACCCCTTCTCCTCGCGCTCTCCTCTCCTCGTGCTCCCTCCGCCGACTCTCCGGGAACTTTATAAACAGAACAACAGCGCGAAAGCTGCTGTTGCCCGCGACGTCAGGCAGTGGGCGTGGCTCGGCTGAGCAAACTGATCAATCAGCGTGGCGTGTAAACGCCTCTTTCCATTCTGGAGAACTGACTCCTTGTGCCCTGCTGCCAATCCATTTGTCACCGACATTCAAGTAATGCAAAGAGATACATCCACCTCCTTAGTGCAAAGGGGTCACTCAAAAAAAAACAGAATAGTCTGAATCTGAAATTAAAAGAAAATGCTGCAATACTCAGCAAGTCTGATAGCACCTGTACGAGGTTTCAGCAGACCTGAAATATCAAATTATTTTCTGCGAATCCATGCAATGCACTTCATTTTTACATGCTACCCGATACCTTTAGCTTTAGCGATCACACTACCAATGTTGGCAATTTTCCATATACCTACTGCCACAGATGGCATTGTTTTTCTCTTTCGCCACTGCAAAGCCTCAAATCGGAAAAGAAGTGTGCGGTATCCAAATATAAATTTATTTCTTGTGTTTTGGAATTGGCACGAATTATGTATGAAATTGAAAAAAACTCTCACCTCTACTGTTTATTATGACAGAGTTTTTGTAACAAAATGTTAATTGAAAATAACACCCTGTGCTTAATTGAGAGCTTAGGTATTACAGGTGAAACGATAGTATCCATTGTATTTGCAATCTCTAATCGGTATAAAATACAAAATCTGTACAATAAACATACTCTTGAATACCCAGGCATGACTTACACATTATTCTGGACAATCTATGTTGCTGAATTAATGCCACG